GAGGCACCTCCCCTGGTAGGCTCGCTTACCAGCTGTGTCAGGAAGTTGTCTTCCACACACTCCAGGAACCTCCTAGACTGCTTCCTCTCTGCCGTGTTGTATTTCCAGCAGACGTCCGGGAAGTTGAAGTCCCCCACGAGAACAAGGGCTAGCGATTGAGAGACTTCTGCCAGCCGCTTGTAGAACGCTTCATCCACCCCTTCATCCTGGTTGGGTGGCCTATAACAGACTCCCAGCAGGATATCTGCCTCATTGGCCTTCCCCCTCATCCTTACCCATAAGCATTCAACCGTAGCATTGATTTGGCAAACCACATTAGTTAGTGGTTAACATTAAGGACAAATGTAAGTCCTTAATGTAAGTCCAAGAATGCTCTGCTGACTAGGAGTTTACACAGAGATACAGGGCCTCAGTCATACCAGCTGCCGACCAGTTAACCATTGTGCTAAATATGCATATTCCGTCTAGTTGTGTAAATATGCATATTCCTTCTTTCTAAAAAAACCCACAGGTAGAAACTCTTAGGTACTATAACAGGAAAATTAGGTATGTGCTTAAACTCAAATCTCAGACTGAAACAGCTCATAACTTGTGACTTGAGGACATTGGACTGTTCTGCAAAAAATCAGTTGGTGCAGTTGTGCTAATTATAGGGAGAAAGTGTTCTGAAGTTGTCGGACTTCTTAGCATAGGCTCTGCTTTTTGGCTTTTAAAATAATTCCTTGGAATTTACTTTTGAACAAGCAGATCCAAAGCTATTCTTGGCTTAAATGTTATCTAAAGAAAACATGCTCAGTATATTTTACCTTTGATCTTACTGAGGAGTACAGTACCATCCCTCTGCATTAGTGTGCCCTAGTATAATCCAAGATTACACATAGATTATGTACAGCATGCTTTCAATGTCACGAAAATTTAAAAAAATAGAAGCAACTCTAGGTTTGTAAATTCTAGAATTCTGTATAATCTAGAATCATAAGTACAATACAAAAAAATATAATTGACACAAAACCAGTCATAGTAAAGTAGCTATTCAGGAAAGTTGCTGCCTCATTAGTTCATGCTAATTTGCAGAACCATGATCAAGTCACGTGAACAATCAGAACTATCAGATTAACAATTCAGAATTTTTAACAAGTTGCCCTAACTAGATTTTTTCTCCTTTTCCCTGCATCCTTTCTCTCTCTTTCGCCTTCTCTTGCAACTACATACTTACTTGCTTGCTGCCTTTCCTACATCCTAAAATATTTTCATTTCTTCTCTAACACTTCTGTTAAAGAACAACATAGTGGTTTGCTTTTTGCCCTGACACTCTGCAGAAGTCCTTGTCATGTCTCTTTGTCACCCACAGTGTACTGATTCTTCACTTACTTCTCAAGAGAGGGAAACAGTAGGTGAAGGGAGAGGACAGAGGTAAGAACTTGGGCTTGTTTGCAGTTTTACAGACTTATGCCTGACCCCTTCTTCCCTCCCTCCCCATCAATACTTTAAAAGTCATTCCCATTCATGTTGTGTGCACGCACACGCTGGGAGAAATTACAGGCGCTCTGCTCCAGGTTGCCTTGACAACTTCAAGGCATCCCTGTGTGTGAGGACCGGTGGCACAGCAAAGTTTCCCAGGCCCCCCGGGGAAGGGGAGGGCAGAGGAAGAGAGGAGGCAGAGATGCTGGAGCCAGCAGCCCGTGTGGAGGAGAGAGCAGCAAGCAGTATGAAAAGGGCACATACATCTCCCACGGGACAACGGGAGTTTTGCTGCCTGGCTGTGAAAGGACACACTGAGGATACAATGGTCTGTGACACATGAAAGCTTTGGAATGAACTTTATTGCTTCTCCATTAAGGACCCTTCCAGAGTCCCATTCAGCTCCAAGAAATCTTGTCAACATCTTAAAATGTAATGAAAACAAACCCCTTCATTTTCTCATGTTCTAAAAACAGATTTTAAATATTTTTTTAGATAATTCTTGTTGTTGGTATGCTGGAAGCTTTTGCAGTTTTGGCCCTGGATGGTACCGAGTGTCCCTCTTGTGAGTTCCCTGAGTTCCCATTAACTTCAGTGGGAGGGAAGGCTGCCCAGCAGCTCCCCAGTAAGGGCTCTCTGAGGTGAGAACTTGCTTCCTCCTCATATAGCTTTTGTTCATACTTAGGCCTGTCATCCCTCTGCTTTGAATGCCACGAGTGGTTAGAGTTCAAGAAGAGAGGAATTGCTGTTCCCTACTTTCAAGCTGAGAAGTCATTTATATAATAAGCAAGAGCAGGAATGAGACTGAGCAACCTAAAATAAGGGGCCATGTAGCCACAGCCAGAGTGCATAATAGGAAACCAAGCTGGAAAGAGCTTATAAAGAAAAGAGCATGACTCTTGCTCCCTGACATATCACTTACACATGGTTCACCACTCAATCCCAGAATCAGTCCAAGAAAGAAATAGGATCACAAGCTCTAATCCTTCAACACAGCAATCTTTAGTGGTAGGATATGCCCTACACTGACTCCTAGTGATTTTTGGAGTGTAGGAGACTCAACCTAGTAGCAAGTGTGGAGTACAAAGAAAGATCAGGCTTGATTAAAGCAGGAAGCATGTATGCCTGCGAACCCTCTAGACTGACAGCGCTCAGCATCTGCTCCTGAATCTATTACTGGGCAAGGGCAGGATACTGGGAACTGACTGATTTAACATCTGTGCATTTCCAAACCTTCCCACCAAACTATATAGGTTAACCTTTTCATGCTCAGGATGTAAACCAAGTTTAAAGCTGATCTTACCTAAAATGAAAAAATACACAGCCCATTGCTGCTACTTTAGAAATAGCAAGCAAGAACATGAAACAGCAATTAAAATATACAAAGATAAAGTTGACTGGACTAGTATGCATGCATTCATTTTTCACTTTTTAAATTACACTTCATTTTAAGTTACATACTGATATTTTAAAAATAAAATTTGTAACAAATGCTGAAATAAACATTGTACAACTCAGTAGCAGATCTGAAATTCTCCAAAAATTATTAACTTTACTTTTATGCCTTGGTTTATTATATTTGCATTATTTTGCGTTTGCATTATTTTGAGGACTCTAATAAAATAACCGATCCTCTATCCACCGACAAGAGGGCTACGGGACTTACTTCCTGTTTGTAAAGATAAGAAAATTATTACTTGGTAGTATCTACCATTTTCCTCACAGAATTTCAAAACATAAATGTAAACTTACCACAAGCATTATCATCCAGTTTTACAGATGGAAAAGCTGAGCAGAGAAATGAAGGATTGAATGCTTCAAATGTTGGATTTCCATTTTCAGTTTCTTACTGTGCCAGTAACACTTTGTTCTTCCACTACAACGACACGTGTAAATCAAGCAATTCAGGGTACAAATCTAGTGATCTCCCTTTGCAATTCATTTTGTGGGCACAAATCTTACTGGCTCTAATGGCTTCTGCCAAAAGGACAACAAACACTAGTTGAAATGAAAGGGTAAGTATGAAGCATGTGATTGGTTTTATACTCTGAACATTTGATCAGAGCCTGGAACACAGCCTTGATCTCAGTTACATCAGTGACTAGAGTACTTTCACTGTAACTCCAGTAGCACATATTTCCTCCTTTAGAAGATAGACAGAAGTACAATATATATACAATGATTTGAGAAAACATTTAGTTTTGCCAGGTCATGATTCCAGTTTTATGTTTCTGTATTATTTATATTCATGCAGTCCTGTTGTCTTGTTTTATATGCTTTACCCTCTGAGACAGGTACCCACAGCAGAAGTTGGTCAACTTTCATTGTATTTTATATGTTCAAAGATGGCATCTAGATAAATGCGTGGGCAATCCACAGAAGACTGGATTAGACAGTGCCATAAAAGGGTCCATGGGAGGAGATAATAAAGCAAAGAGATCCTTTCCTGACCTCTTTTTCCATTCTACGCTTTGAAAGCTTGATTCCAACAGGAAGCATCAGCACTGTTTTGAGACAGATGGTGTCGCCCTCCAGATGAAGTATGGGGAAGTTATTGACTACTTGAAATTTTAAGAAGGAGCAAAGGGGCATTTTAAGGAGAAGAATACTAACTGCACCTGCTTGGAAAGAGAAAAAGCATTTCCATTTCTGACAGTCCTTATGAGATACTCCTTCTCAGAGTTTCAAACCTCTTTCCCTGGCAGAACTGAACCTTCATTTAAAAAAGACGGTGCCGCCCTGTTGGTGCCATCTGATGAACAAACATTTTAGCAGATGCCATAGTGAGCACCCCAGTATTCACATTAGATCAGATGCATTAAGACGAGCCAAGAATTAGGATTAATGTCGCAAGTTTTGCAAAGCTTATAAAAGACTCTAAATGCTTATTCATACAACAGTAAGGATTTTCTGAAACAAACTAACAGCATTTAATCTGTTTTAAACTCCCATGGCTTGGGACAGAGGTAAACTGAGGTCATGCCATTAGGGATTGAAGAAAACTCTTTGTACACATTAATTGTAGCAAACATTATCAACATTACTTGAGAGTACTCTGTTTTCTTTCTTACCATCACAAATTCAGTGCAGCACATTTCTAAGGTACATTTTTCAGACTACGGTAACTATGCTAATCAAAAACCATGAATTGGCTCACTGGAATATAGGGAGTGACACACTGCATCAGACCAATAATCTTTGCTTTTAACAAGTGTTAACAAAGCACAGAAAGCTGTAACTCTTGTAATAGAAAATTATATAATAACAAACATTAGGGGTGGGATGGGAAGACAGTGGCAGTACAAGCCGCAAAAGAGGGCCAACTCTTACCTTGGGTAGCTTAAAATGTACTCGTCATCAATACTCTTCCCACAAAACCATTTTCATCATGCTGAGTTTATACTCTTTACTCACAACTGTATGAGGTGAATATCCTTGTGCTTAAATTTACTAGGAATTGCTGCCCTGGATAGTAAAGCATCAGGGAAGATGGGAGTCCGAGCAGTAGTCTACTACATGAGTACTACGATCATTGCTGTACTGATTGGTATAATCATTGTGGTCATCATCCACCCTGGGAAAGGTACTAAAGAAAACATGCACAGAGAAGGCAAAATTGTGCAAGTGACAGCAGCAGATGCCTTTCTTGATTTAATCAGGTATGGCTATGATATTGCACATTTTCTGTACCAATAGCAACAACAGTAATACCTAGATGCACACGAGAACAAAAGTAGAGAATTTTAGACAGTGACTACATAAACTAGCCAAATTTCTTTCAACTATGTGATACCAGTATCTCTAACCCCTGCAACGCTACAAAAGAATACATGGATTTATTTTCAAATCAAGCTGTTGCAAAGGAAGAAACTGCTTTTAATATTCAAAGAAAGATTCTTTCTTTCACACACAAAAGAAAGACTTCTGTTCTGCTATCTGCATGGGTCTTTTGCCCTCCTTCCATAGCACAATCCTTATTACCAAATTCCTCTGCTTTCCTTTACTTCCAACTTTCAACAGTTTTCTTACTTCACTTGAATCCCTGATTTAGCTATTCATCTTAATTTTGCATTGTAGCTGCCAATCTGGGTGCATCTACGCAACTTGTTAAATTGTATGGATGGGAAATAAATTCCAAGAACAGGCAAGTAAAATGCTTGAAATAGAGGGGCACAGATATAAAATCTTGTTTTCTCCTTACTCAGAGACTCTGCAATGCCTCTTTTATAGAGCTAATATGTCACAGATGTATTCCAGGGAGTAGGGAAGCTGAGGTTTTGAACTCGGGAGCTTTTCCACAGGTAAAGCCACCAAAATTTTGTGTTCCACTAACCCATTTGGAGAAGCCAGAGACATGGAGAAAGGCCTCCAAGAGTCATGCTGCCAGGAAGGGGGACTTCAGAAAGACCCATGAAGAGGTTTGCACTCAGATTCCTCAAGATTTATTCAGTTAGGCTGCTTCTAATTCCCTCAGAAATGTCACCATTCTGGAAAGCAAAGAAACAAACCCCCATATGTAACAAGTATACACACACATATATATGTGTATATGTTATTACTAAAGAATACTCAGACTTCAGAAATACTTATTTCTTAATCACAACAAGACTCTAAATTGAGTGATAAATGTCATGATGTACTAGGCTATGTGACCGCAAAAATTGTTTGAGAAGTAGAAATGCATTAAATATTAATAACATCTTTATTAATCTGGATTCAGAAAACATTAATAAATACAAAATTAAAAGTCAGCACTGACCCACAGAGCTTTGTTCATTTGGTAATTTAGCTAATATGCTGCTCCATAACCAGACCTGCTATACAATATTGGATACAGAGATTGCAATTGCCAGGATCTATCCAACCCTATTACATTTCGTCCTGATAAAGCTAACCAGGCCAATGCTATATGCAAAGCTCTACTCACTGTATACATAATTACATATTTGTCTTAGGATTCCTTTGAAAATTAGCTGGTCAATTCTTTTATTAACTGTGCCCCTACTTAAGATATTACTAGATTCTTACTACTTCTCATGTTATTTTCTTTCTTTTTCACAGAAATATGTTCCCTCCAAATCTGGTGGAAGCGTGCTTTAAACAGGTAAAAATGTGTTGTTATTTCCAACTAAAACATTACAAAGTAAGAAATTGAAATGTAATAGCATTTTCTTTAGGAATATCACTTACTTGTACTTACAGCAGAAACAAATCTTAGGTATGCTGCCAGCTGTCAAAAAAACCCAAACCAAACCAACCAAATCTGTGCTTTGTTTTCAATAATATTGTCTCAGTGTTTGCTATGAGAAGTGAAGAAAACACACCTGGCACAGCAAATCAAAAAATAAGTTTTTCAAAATGCCAAATTCTTAAGGCTACAGAAAGCTTCATTGAAGCCAATACAGAATTTACTTTTCAGAAACAGTGTTATGTTAAATTGGGAGATACTGACATATGCACCATCTGTAAAAAGACTGGAAGATATTCAAGAATGCCATGTGAGAAATGTGCATAGGTTCAAAACAGAGGAAACAATTTTGTAGACATCAGTAACAAAATCAAACTAGGGGACTTCCTGCCACCTATGGTAGGAGTGCATAGGAATGCTCTTTCTATGTTGCTTCCCAAATTCCTCTATCATTAGCCTGGTCTTAACCTTAACTGTTCTATGGAGAAAATAATAGTAACTAGTTACATTCCTTTTTTAAAAGGAGGACATTATAGATTCAGTGTATTATGTGTATTTCCATAATCTAATTGCTACATATTGACCCCACAGACAATCGTGAACTGATATTATTTACCAGTTATTACTGCAGCAATAAAAAAAAGCTGCAATGTGGAGGTCAAGAAGCAAGAGGATAAAGTAGAAACTTTCCAAAGTCCAGCTGAGTTACATCTTGCACAAGAATTGAAAAGAAACAGTAACATTTTCTTTAGTTATATAAACAAAGACCAAAAAAAACCAGTGACTTTCTAGATTAAAGATTTAGTCAAGATTAAAGATAAACTAGACCCAGGTCCAAAACCAACAAATGCTATGCCTCTGTTTTCAGTAAGGATGATGATGAACTCAGGACAGTGATGCAGAAAAGCAGTATGGAAATACAAAAGTCTGTATCTAAACTAGAAACAAAATTCAAAGAAATTAATGTAATAAAGTCAGGGAATGACATCATCTTTATCTCAAAATAATGAAAGAATTGGGCATAAAGTTACAGATCTAGCAGCAAGTATGTTTAATAAATCTCTCAAGCTGGGAAGTTATCTGTAACTGGTGAAAGCAATCATAGTGCCTTTAAAATTGCAATTTCAAAAAGATTTGGGAATTGATTTAAGCAGTTAATAACCCATTAGCTTGATCTTGGTTGTAGTGAAGGATATAAGTACTTTGAAGGAAAGAGCAAAGACTTTGTAATAAATGAAAATGAAAAATACATGAGAAAAAAGGTAAAGAATAACAAAGGTTTCTGAAACACAGATTGTACCACAATAAACTCCCATCTTTCTTCCACAAGATTACTCATTTTCTTCTTTTTTTTTCTTTTTTTTTTGTGCCACAGAAGTGCAATGGATCTAATCTCTTTGGACTTCTGTAACACAGAGGTTTTAATATGAGGGAAGTGAAATAGTTGAGCAGAGGATAAGATTATTGTAAGAATTGTAAAATTTGTGGAGATAGCAATGGAAGTTGCTGAAGGACTGGGCATACCTCAATTTATATTTTTATGAATGACATTGCTGTAAGACACGCACAATGAAATGTACAGATGACAGGAAAGTCCAAGCACTTTGTATTGAGATATCTAACAAATGCCAAAGAAGGTGGTATGTCCTGGCACACTGTGACTATAAAGTCACAACAACAAAGTGAATTGGCTCTTGCAGACATTGGCACGTTTGGTTATCTCCTTGTAGCTCTTCATCACATGTGAAATAAACATTTAGAAATTAGCAGTAATTTCTGCTTTGAGATGGGAGGTCATCATCAGAAAGAAAAAAAAAAAATTGAAACCCCTCTAATTCAGCTCTAGGATATATTAGGTGACATAACTCCAAGAGAGGAAATCAAACCAGTGAAATGTGACTGTCTAGAATACTGAGTATATTCGGGTCATTACATTCATAGGAAGATTAATGCAAAATGAGCACAATCGAGAGAGGAGTTGATGGGATTATCAAAAGAACACAGCGTATAAAGCAAAAAAGCTTGATTTAAAAACTATTCAGGTACAAAAACCAAAGTGGGAACAGAGCTGTATAAGATAAAGGAAAATGTTTATACAAGAAGAAATGGAAATCACTATGACTGAATTTAAAGTGGGAATTAGTAAGATTTTTAACCTTCATTACCTAAAAAGTGAGGTCCTGGAAAAATCTTCAATTAGGAGTCGTGGGAACAAACTACCTCATCAGTTTTAAGATAGAGCTTGAAAAATTCTTTTGATAAAGTATCCCACAGCAACAGGAAACTTGACTCAGTGACTAGCAGTCCTAAATCTATGTTCTTAATTAAAGATGTCCTGTAGATTCTGCTTACATTAAGTATATTGTATTTCTCACGTGCTTTACAGCTTAAAGGATTTCCAAAAAATGGTTCAAAAAACAGTAAATGTTTAATGAAAGTTTTTTCTGATTTTCAGCAGCAGCTATGCTTACTGGAGCACCAGGATTTTAAATCTGTCATACTGATGCTATTACCTTTTGAATCAAGTACCAAAACCTAGATTTTTAGGTATAAATTATTTTGTTGTAGCAGGTTTGTTAAACTAAAAACATTTTACAAAAGAAATAAGTATGTGTAAGATTCATAGGTATCCAGATGACTTTGTACATCTGACTCCATAACTTTCTTTTCAAAAGTTTACATCAGGTTTTTCATGTTTCTTAGAAGATTTATGAAGAAGGATGATCCATCTGGCACGAGTCTGGTTCTGTAACACCATGTTTGCTGGCCCAAACACAAACCACACTACTACTCATAGTTGTCCACACTCAAAGGCGTAATACTGATTCACAGCTTTGCACACCTGGAAACCATCACTGGCCTATGCACTCCACATTCAGATCACATCTTTTGATATATTAGGTGTTCACATTCTGTCTTATAGCATCTTTAGGCAGGCTTCTTTCCTGACAGAGATCTGCATTGGAACGCACTGGAAGATTTTTCTTTCTTTCTCACCATAGCCAGCAGACAGGTCCTCCAATGACTGTGTTAGTACTCACAGCAAGTTTTGAACTTGTTACTTTCCCCATCAATAGCAAGCACATCCCAAATCAGCTCCACTAACACACAAGACCAACTATCATTTCCAAAGTTTTTAACCTCAAAAGGTCAACTATTACTCAAATTTTGTAACACCAAGATGTGGAAAATTGTACTTTCCTTTGCATAATTAATTTTAGTGAAGTAAAGTTAGTTTTCTGGATGTGGAATTGCTCTCCTGCAAAATGAAATGGAGCTGTGTGGGTAACCAAGGTGGGCATGGCTTCTAGTCGGAGTTGGAAAAGCTTTTATAGGATTGCTGCTGGGAGAAGAAGAGTCATGAAGGAAGACTCGACCTTAGGACTTATTTAGGAAGGATCTTCCTAAATTTTCTACTGTTCCTCATTCAGTCTTCTGGTCCTTTGGATTCCCTTTCCTGTTCTTCTTTCCCAGCAAGTCTGTGAGGCAAGAAAGCTGCTCCTCTTGCTGCTTCTTCTCCTCCTCCTCCTTCTTTGTACATTTTCTTCCCCAGAAACAGGAAGAGTGGTGGAAGAAAATGCATCTTCCTCTCCAAAAAGGACCTCCCATTGTGGAACCCAGAAGCCAGGAAGAGTCCCTGTAGGAGAGAATGCGAGCCCATGGAAAAGCTAAAGAAATCCTTTCATTCAAACCTTTCAGCTGAGAATCAGCAGAACCATTTCAGGTTTAGCTGGTGGCATTCAGCCCCATGCCCCAGGAAAGGCTATGGGGACAAAGAGCCACTGTTGTCTAGCAGGTCAAGTTAAGAAGAATAAACTGGAAAATGTTGGGCTTTAGCTTCGTTCTGTTCTTCACTAGTTAGTCCCTCTCTCCCTGTGAAAGATCAAAGTACTGTTGGCACTCTGTCTCTATCAGGATCTCCTCCAATTAAATCTGTGGCAGATAGGGATCACTGGAAACAGCAGATTGTTAATCCAAACAGCATACTTTCTGATGCTAGATATTTCTATACGACATATGTTGCTACCTTCATTATGCACTGATCATTTGGGGGCTTTTGTGATTTTTATCAGTAACAGGAGAATCTGAAAAGACTGACTGCAGATAAATATTCCACACTTACCTAAAACTAGATTACTAGTTTTCAAAATTTTCTCTGTACCACTATATTCACGCCCAGTTTAGGGATATCTAAAGAAATCTTTCGATTTATCTTTCAGCTCTGGCCATTATCTCTTCATTTCTCTTTGCTAAATTAAAAATGCTATCTAGCCTGGGGCTAAGCAGTGATAAGCAGTCTGCTTGTTAAGCAGATACTGCTTTTTAACTGCTTGTTCTTTGTGCTGTGCTCTGGGGATACATCAAAAGACAAAAGAAACACAAGTGAACTCGGGACATCAAGAGAAACAGAATCACTCTAACGATTTGGGGAGGGTCATTCTGTTGTGAATAGGTGGAATCTGATGCCAGCTGAAGTTTAAAGAACTGGAAAAGTGCATCTGATAACTGTGTTTCTTCTGAGCTTTTTTTAATTAAATATTCTTTCCTGAACACATCCTTACCAAGGGGATTGGAAGTGTTAATCACACATCCAGACATGAATACTAACTAATATATGCTGTCTATTCCTCGTGGTAATTTTGGCTAGTTAAGATATATTTTAACCTGTGTCATCAGCTCTTCTGCAAACAATTTAGAATGCTTTCACACATGTCCATATGGAAAGGAAAGAAAAAATTAGGAAGATGGGATATCACTGCCTTATTTTAATTTCTTTTTGTTTTTTCAGGCTTGCATTTAAGCAAACTTGTTGCTTTTAAAATCATCATTCACTAAAAACTACATCATCATACAGACTTAGCACAGACAGTGCTAATTGTACTATCTCAGAGTACTGACAGTAAATTACGTGTTTTCAGAGCAGTTACCCATGCAACTACCTTGTCTGCAAGTTAACCACTGGAATGTGCTACTGCCATGTTATAATGTTGCTTCTTAAAAGTCATGCAATATATTCAAGTCAAATGACTGTGGGTATCTTGTACCACTAATGAAAACAAAATAAAAGCATAAACAACTAATTCATTATATTATGCAATAAAGTAATTATATTGTCTATTTCATCATGAGATAACAATTAAAATTCATTTTGAAGTTGTTCATTAGAACCGTATCTTGCAAAGAAGTCCAGAAATGCCATTATTTTTATATTTTACTTGCAGATAAGGTTGTTCATAGAAAGCTATTAGTATTAATATGTTCCAAATAGTATTTACCCTGCTCCTAATGTGTTCTCTATACATGAACTTAAGGAAAAATTATGAGTATTTTGCATCTAAAATCTTATCAGGCAAAAATACCTCTGCCTGGAGACAAAATGCACCAAACATCCTCAGAAATTACAGGACTTCAGTGACGTTGTGTAGGCCATCACAGATTATCAGTGTAGGTGTGTGGGCTTCTAGTAAAACATAACCAGCTCTTCTGAGACCCTTAAGCCTACAATCTGTTGTATGAGCAGTTTTTCTTTGTCTAATTTCTTCCATTACTGAATGTTGCAAAAGAACAAGGATCTGCAGAATCATAGTGTGATATTAAAATGTCAGTTTGAGCTATATGAACAGCTGATAACTCTGATTCCCACCAAGATAGAGATCTGCGTGAAAGTAGGAATCTCGTAAAAGCTCACAAAATGATTTCTTATCACCAGTTTCTCTGCCGAGCAGTAATAGTCAACTCTGCTATTACCTCATCTATTTCAAAACCTTTGATATTTTCTATCATCTTGAAAGTGGTCTTTCATCCTGTCACTTCCTATAAACAGTCGGCTCTTTCACTGTTCCACACACAGAAAATTTGTTTTGTGGTGGTCAAGAAATCTTGTATTTTGCCTTTAGTGTCATCTGAAAAAGCACTAACAAGAATAAAGCTCAACCTATACTTTTTCCGTAGTAGCTATCTCCTCTGCATTTCCCGTATTTGGTTTTCCTTAATTTCTTTTACTTCAAAGGAACCTTCTCATGACTTCTGATAGACAACTTTGGGCATAAGAAGACAGATACATCCACAGAGTTATCCTTAACCTCATTTAGCAATAATGAAAGAATGGATAGCTCAAGTGACTGTCCCAGAGCAAATAAAGTTGCTCTGATTCCTGTTGCTCAGATTCCCATTTTGAATCTCACTCTAAAAAAACTGTTTCTCCACTGCTCTGGAAGGGGTTCTAGAAAGACTATTCTCCCTAGTAACATTTCTGAATACTTAAGTCTGACCAACAGGGTGAGTCAACAGATAAGATCTACATCTCTGTGTACCAGTTTAGTAGCTGAAATGGAAACAGACTTTGCTAAGTGAGGTCCTAAAATCCGTATTAGACCCCTAAAGAGACTTAAATAATAAAGAATTGAAGGCATCTTCCCGCTGGGACAGAATTCCAGAATCAGCACAAAAAAGAAGGAATATGCTTATTACAACCTAAAATGATTTCTAACTGGGGTTTTTAAAGGTAAGAAACTTTATGTGATTGTGCTTTCTCCCCTGTAGCTGCCCAACTTCTTCTCAGTCCCCTGTTGTAATTTTTGAGCCCAATAGCCAATTCCAACCTGATTTGACATGAGGGGGCCAATTCTCAGGCATATCAAGACCATGCTGCCACTGAAAGAAAAGTGGTTTATGACTTACCTCATGGCCTGTTTGAACAGGCAGCAGCCAACCAGCCAGGCAGCACACGTCTAACACTGTCTAACAGCTGTATCACGTGTTGCTTTTGACCTAGTCAAATAGGTAGGAATGAGAGAAGGACCTGAGGGTAATGGAGGAGAATCGGGACAAAGTCAGTTATGATGTGTCTAGAGAAAGTAGGAAATGAATAGGAAATTTGTTAGGAAATTAGGCTTTAATTCCAGTCCTCATTAAACAGCTTGCTTTTTTATGTTTGTCTAATCTGTACGCCCACAAGTCCAGCCTAATTACACCATTCAAATATTTGTATTAAGGAATTTTTACCTGAGTTTTTTTTCTCCTGAAAAACAGTAATAAAAATATATATGTAACACAATTATCACACCTGTAGAATTTTTACCTGAGTCTCCTGTCTCCTGAAAAACAGTAATAAAAATATATATGTAACACAATTATCACACCTGTACACACACACACACACACAAAAAAAAAGAATTAGAAGTGTTTTATGTACAGTGTTAGGCAGTATTTTAACATTCCTGTCAGGACTGAATTAAAAACCCTTTAGTGAGAACTTCTAGAAAATTTCCATTTCCACTCTAATACCTCTCTGTCACTTAAAGAGGCAATCCCATTGCTCCTTCCCCAGCTGTGTAGTTCCAGTCTCAGTGTTTTGTGCTCTCTGGCATTCATCAGTCAGTGAGCTGATTCACCTCCATAGCCTTTACCCAAAAATGGCCACTTTTTTTGCTTGGTAAGTTTTCTGCCAATTTAAAAAGTAGAATTGGCCCACTGAGAGATCAATCTAGAACTGACACAGAGGAGAAATGATCACAGGTTGGATGTGAGTGGATGAGGGAGTGGAACTGGGCTTTTCCATGTCAGCCAACAGCTGGAACAGCTCAGCTGTCTCCTCTAACCACAGCCCAAATTCTAAAATGTTTTAGCAAATTTCATTTAAAACTCAAGAATATCTGACCTCCATGGAGATTTGTTCTGCTACATCTTATTCAGAAACTTTCCATAAATCTCCTGTAAGCAAGTTTTATTTGAAATTCTGAAAGACTTAAAGCCTTCAGGGAGATACAGCAAATATGTGGAAGGAGTGCATAAAACTATTCAGGTGTGGAAAATAACAGAAAATTAGGTCAGTGTTGATAGATACTGATATTCAGGTTTCCCACTTAGTCATAAGTACTCCATTTCACCCAAATACTTTTGGAGTGCACAACAGTCTCCAGATATTACTAATAATACTACAGCTCCTGGACTTAATATTTGTCTTTTGTTGGCAGGCTCAAAGGAATAAAAATCCAAAGTTGCTGAATAACCTTGACACCAGCATTCCATTGCTTTAATAGGGTATTTAGCATCCTGGGATATATTAGAAACATTTTACTAGTGATATTTAGGATTCTTTGTGTTCAACAGAATTTAATCAGGACAGGGCTGCAGGGCATTTTGAGCCCAGACAGAAATATTCAGGATGCACATTTCTCTTTGGAAAAGCACTAGGTGGTGAAAGACTGGTTTTCAAAGTAGACGTTTAGGAGCATATTGAGATTTTGAAATTGATTTGCCCATTTAGTAATGGAACCATTTAAGGTAAAACCTTTTTCTCAATTAAGAAAAGTGGTAATTTGTTACTGCAAAGCATAGAAAACTAATGGCTTTGCTACAGCAAAGGAAAAAAGAGGTATGTTATATTTAAGTTACTTTCAGTCTAATTTTTTCTAATTCAAAAAGATGAAAAAGTAAGGAAACTCCAGAGCACATGAAAATATTTTCACTAGCCAAAAAAGACTTATTTATTTAACAGTTGGATATATGTTGTTGGGAAAAATAGCAATTTATAAAAATGCAAACTAAGAATCAATTGTTTTGTCACAAAACTCATGAGCATGACAAATCTGTGTCTTTGATTTTGACATCTTTATGAGAAAATGAGTTCTGGAAGCTAAAGATGCAGATTTAGCTCTTGAAGTTAATATGGATTTTTGTTGCTTTCAGGAAAGCCAGGTTTTCACCACAGTACATTTTACCAACAAATATTACACAAAGAATTCAAATGTCCTACAATAGTAATTAGTAAGTTAATGTGTGATTTTTACCTTTGTTTGCTATTTTTGTTTTAACAGTTCAAAACTAACTATGAAAAGAGAATGTTTAAAGTAGATATTCCATCCAATGACACATCCACAGTGGCTTCCATAATAAGTAATGTGTCAGAAGCAATGGAAACCCTCACTCAGATGAAAGAGGAAATAGTTCCTGTTCCAGGTTCTGTAAATGGAGTGAATGCCCTTGGCTTGGTGGTTTTCTCAATAAGCTTTGGCCTGGTGATTGGAAGCATGAAGGAGCAAGGTCAGGCATTAAAAGACTTCTTTGACAGCCTTAATGAGGCTATCATGAGATTGGTAGCTCTAATCATGTGGTAAGTGCCTCTTTGATAAATTCCATTTTAAGTTACTAACAATATTTTTTCATCACAGTCAGGCACTGGATAGCAAGAGTCTGTTTGGCAGGAAGTCAGACAATAAGATCTTAACTACCTTGTAGCTTTTTTCATAAATGAACCCAAGAACTGTAATTCTGTATGTCAATAATTTGCCCAAACATACCTACTCTTTCAGTGTGTTTAGCTTTTGACATGAGAAAAATCAGGATCTATGGCAGAACTTGCTAAGCTTATGCAGAGCCATTCTACGTCTTCATAAAGATAGAGATCACAACAGTGTGCTATCAAAGTTTCCTTATATCCTGACTTCACTAAAGAAAACCAACAAACATCTCCCATAATCTTATTTCTACACAGCAAGACATTGTTATCATTAGTTTCCAACACAACTGGTTCCTGCAGTTGTGTAGTGTATATGTATGTTCTTGCATTGTAGCTGCACTGCTTACACATACACGTAATTTTCCTACTTTCTTTATTGTGTTCAATAGGTAAATAAAACCAGTAACTTTTCCCTCAAACACCAGGTATGAAGTCTTTTCAACAATGAAGATTCATTATTTGCCAGGTACAAGGTTAATTATGAGAAAAAATTATGTCTTGCTGCCTTCTTTACTACAGAAAACAAACAAACAAACAAACAAATCAACTCCAAAAGCCTACCCAAGAGCACACACACATTATGTTGCAGTACTAGATACAAAACTAAAAATATTTTTCCAGTAACTAAAATTCTATTCTGCCAGGAAACATCTATACAAAGCAAAAAATCTTTTCTCCTTCTTTACAAGAACGCTTAAGACGATAAAGCAATGGATGAGAATTGTTACTTCTGAGAAATTCCTACATGGATTTGATGGCTTAAAGTGCAATTGAGATATGCTGGATAAATTTTGTTCTGTGTTAACTTAGTCTGAAAAGACAAGTGGACATTTAGAGAAATAAGGCTATACCAGAAGTCCAGCTGCAGCAGAATTATGTTAGAGTTTTACGCTCAGCACTAGCTCTTTCTTCATCTGTAGCTGTGCTTATCGATAGGAAAAAGCAGATCATACCACCTTTGTTGCTGGCCACAATGCATCTAACCTCTGTCATACAGATGGCTTCATGCTAACGTATTTATCCAGTGCCCCACTGGATAAAATGGGGCACAGCCAGAAGCAGCTTGGAATCATCGGAAGTTATCAGCCTTCTGTGTGGGTTCCTTCCCCAGCAACATGGTAAACAGCACTGGCAAGATAATAGAACTAGGCACTTGGCAGAGTCTACAGCTATGTCAGCTGAGCCTTTGTTCATACAGACAGAATTATAACAGAATTGGCTAAACTAGCTTTTAAATGACACTTGAATTCCAAAGCGAGCTTATCTCCCTACGTGTCTGAAAGGCATGCGATACATCTTGAAACCCTTACTAGATCCTGAATCCAATGGAACCTATCATAAACATTCACTGATGTGGTTTAATCCAGGTTGAACTGTTATAAGTTAAAGAGTTAAACTCTTGAACTGCTTCTGAATGATTGCAGTCATCCTAACAGTGAAATCCTACATTCATCCGTGCATATAAAAACAAATGGTATGGATGGGGGAGTGAATTTCTACTTTGTTCACTACAATACTGATTTGATTTCTTATTTGCAGGTATGCTCCACTTGGAATCCTCTTCTTGATTGCTGGAAAAATTGTTGAGATGGAAGATATGGGTGTGATCGGTGGTCAGCTTGCCATGTATACTGTTACAGTTATCATCGGTTTGCTAATTCATGCGGTCATTGTCCTACCTCTTCTCTACTTCCTGATCACTCGTAAGAACCCTTGGGTATTTATTGGAGGCTTAATCCAGGCATTAGTCACAGCTTTGGGAACATCTTCCAGGTATAATACAATATTTTAAGGCCATATTGTTTTTATAATATTACTGGTTTGAGAAATAATTTTGCCTGATGTAATTGGTTAACTCTGTATTCAAGTATTCGCTTGGGCACTTTATTTCAGTTTCGCTGCTCTCCAATAGAGATAATTATTATCATCATATTGACTTGAACTCTATTTTCTATAAGAATCCCTGAACAGAGATGTAATGAGCCTGTTTGGTGATGCAGACTGTATGGCCAGAACCCTTGTGACTCTGATTAGCCTTGGTGTTTGAGATTTTTAAGTAGTTTGTAATGGCCTCCTCTTAAAGAATGCAGCTGGCAAAGGATGTGCATGGCAAAATGGAGCAGCAAACAGGAAAGTTCAGAGGGGATTCTGAGAGACCTTGAGAGCCCTTATCGGCAGCTGACGTTCTGTGCTCCAAATCCTGATAGCCAGTAATGGATATACAACCTGCAACAGAAATGTCACTTTTGCTCTTTGTTGATGAAGTCACAGGTACATCATATCAATAAAAAAACTGTTTGCATCTATGATGAAAGGAAACATTATTGTAATCAAATATACATTTCTATAACATATGACCTTTCATAAAACATGTTTCATTTTAATAGATTTTAAAAGTGTCTCCTAAAGACAGATGTTTTAAGTCAGACATTCTGTATTACCAAATTCAAGTCCCTGGTGTTTGGGATTATCTTGAAGATCTTGATGAGAAGCTATTGTGACCATTAATGTAGAATCTGATTAAGTTTTGTATAACTGAAAAAGCTCTGGAAGACTTAAAAAAATTATGACAGTACATTAGGGTAGAGAGGGACAATTACTAATTTCACATTTGACATTTGGATGTCAATCCTTGCAAATTTGTTGAATGCCTAAAAGGGAATTCGATTAATAACGATTTTTAAAAGAAGATAATAAAATTAATGCCAGCCAACACAGTTTAAGAGAAAATAAAATTAAACTATAACTTTGGTGGGTAACAGTAATAGTGTTAAGAGGATATGTTCCAGCTTCTGTAAGACATTCCACTTGGCACTGCTCAAGATTCTGAGTGAGAACCTAGATTGATGCAAGAGAGCATACTACACTGCGAGTGGATTTAAAAACTGTTTAAAATTCAGCTGTAAGTTGACTGTCATCAGAGATTTTCTAGCACAATCTTCCACAGCCCTTCTTTACATTTTATCAGTATTTCATTTTATCAATATTGGTAAAGTTTTCAAAGACATGAAAGTCTGTTAAGTAGTCAGCAATGAAGAGGTCACTGAGATAGAGTAATCTGAATTGCTGGGTCTTGAAAAACCTCTTTACTTTGGTGCGATCAGATGTAGAGATACATCTTTAAGAACAAATTGCCCAGGCAGCTATTATAAAATGGCCACCTTATCCCTCCTTCTGAGGCAGTGTCTCTGAAAAGGAACTTGGCATCGTGTGGGCTGAATGGGCACTCCTGTAGCATATGAAGCCAAAATGTTCAGTTGGGTTGGTCTTTAAATGAAATTATCATTTATATCATATTTGGATGTAACAGCAGGGGAACAAGATTAAGAAGTCTATGGGGCCTGGCTGGACAGAGTTAACTTTCTTCATAGCAGCTCGTATGGTGCCGTGTTTTAGATTTGTGACCAAAACAACACTGATCACACAGTGATGTTCTAGCTATTGCTGAACAGTATTTGCACAGTGTCAAGGCCTTCTCTGTTCCTCACTTTGCCCCCGCAGTGAGTAGATTGAGGGGTGAGGAATAGGTTGGGAGGGCACACAACCAGGCACATGACCTGAACTAACCAAAGAGATATTGCATGCCGTATAACATCATGCTCAGCAATAAAAAGGGAAAAGAGGGGATTTCAGGGAGGCTAGCCATCTTTTACTCAGGAACTGGCTGGTCATTGGTCTACCTGTGGGAGGTGGTGAGTGATTGCCTTTGCATCACTTGTTTTGTTTTGTTTTTTTCCCCTCTTCTTCCACTTATCCTTCACTTATTAAACTTTTTTTCTTATCTCAACCCCTGCGTTTTCTTGTTTTTACTGTTCCTTTCCTCTTTGCCTGCCCCACTCAGGGTGTGGGGGTGAGTAAGCGAGTGGCTGTGTGGTGCTTAGCTGCCTACTGGTGTTAACCCACAAGTGGTAAAGTAATGTAATCATCCATCAAAATGCCCTTACCAGGGGAGCCAGCAAATAAATAAGAGAAAACATGCTGTTTACTGAAGGCTTGAATAGCTCAATTTGTAAAACTTCAGGAAAAAAATGCTTAGGGATGATTCAATCATAACTCCATGACATAAAAAATGAGAAGCAGGAATCGTGACAAAATACTGAAGGTAGACACATTCAGACTAGGGACTACATAGACAGTGACAGTAATTAACCATTGGAAAAACTTTCAAAGAGCATTAGGAGAACTTCCATCATTAGAAGTGTTTAAATTCAGCCTTCACATTTTTAAAAAAAATATTCTGGTAGATCACATGAAAATGAAGACAGAACAATCTCTCTTGTCATCATAATGCATGACATTCTCTTCATTCCCTCTCTGTAGAATTTATATATTACCTTCTTTTTTTTTTGTTTCAGTTCTGCAACACTACCTGTTACATTTAAGTGTCTAGAAGAAATAAATGGAGTGGACAAACGAGTTACAAGATTTGTACTCCCAGTTGGTGCTACAATTAATATGGATGGAACTGCTTTATATGAGGCTTTGGCTGCAATTTTCATTGCACAGGTTAACAACTTTGATCTGAACTTTGGGCAGATTATCACAATCAGGTACAGAAGCCATTATTACCTACGTCTAATAAAAGCTAAAAGCACCTTTGTGATGACTCCTTCTTGCTGTTGTATGTGGGATTAAACAAAAGCATCTAGAGCTAAAAACAAGAACTGCTAAAGTAGCTGACTAACTGTAATGATTTACATCTTCTGCACAGATTCAGCACATATTCTCCATTAGGTAAACCTTTAAAAAACTGTAACATGATATACCTATCACTGCACTTAGTAGAGCCAACAAGAACAGACTTTTAAATTTTCTTTCTTAAGAATTCATGTGGCTGTTGGGAGCTATAGACTTACAATTAGTACCAGGTTGTTTATAATGCATGTACAAAGTAATAGCATAAAAGTGTCACAGTGCTAATGCTAGGAGAGGTAGTGTTTTCCTAGTCCTGATGGTCTCAGGATACAAGTAGAGCAAGCTGTGTAAGGAGCAGTAATACCTTTTATTACACCAGCTGATAGAGGTGGAGAAGATAGGTATGTTTTCCAGCACACAAGCCTTCATGTTTGAAACAGAACAACCCACTAAGTAATAACTGATCTGCATTAATTTCATTATGTTACTCAAACAGCTTAAGAGAAAAGGGTGATGGCTACATGTGCAGAAGAAAGAAATGTCAGCAAGAGGAAAGAGGGACACTGTAGGACAGAGAGACACGTATTTATCACTCAGAAACACTGAAAATTCAGATATGGTGAACTGGCGATGTAAAAGATTTTCAAGCAGAAGTGCTTCTCTCCATAAAACCCACCAGCTTAATTCAATATTCATCAACAGAAGGCAAAACTCTGCCTTCACACTCGAGGCAATAGTTCCACATTCATTAGTACGAGAGCTGCTCCCTGCCAAATCACCTGACAAAACAAATTCTTCCTAAACCAGGTGTGAACAAGCATATTTCTATCAAGTTACTAGACTGTATGATTCAAGGTTTCTGGCAGCTTTCTGTTTTCTGATGGCAGAATGCCAACTGCTGGAGGATAGATACTTCACCTGGCATGAAGTTGTAGCGAGATTGACAGAGAACAAAAGTTCTTGCATTAGATCTGCCAGGACAAAATTACCTCTTCAGCTTTTCTTTTAACATGTTTGAGCTTGTGGAGTGAGTTTGTTCAATGGGTGGGGGCATGTAGCTATAATGTTTTTGTCTGGCCCTTACCATCTAATAGGGGATTTACCACTTAACAAAATCATGTTTCGAGGTTTCTGGATAAAGGTTTAGTGTAAACATTTTGGATTAAGATCCGCACTCCCCTGCAGCTATGCAGTATTCAGGTAAGGGACTGGGCTCATCTTTTTATTTACTACTGAGCAAATGCCTTCTTGCTTCATATCTGGTTTTAATGTCTGCCAGATGATAAGCAGAGTTTATTATGGAAGTCAATTAATTGCTCTTGCCATCTCTTTGCACAGCATCACAGCTACAGCTGCCAGTATTGGCGCTGCAGGCATTCCTCAAGCTGGACTGGTCACCATGGTCATTGTGCTTACATCAGTAGGTTTGCCTACAGATGATATCACTCTTATCATTGCAGTGGACTGGTTCTTGTAAGTATTTTTATGGAGTCACTAAGGGCTTAGACCATATTTAGAAGTGCAACAGCCAGGGACATTCTGGCAATACTGCAATCAGTGGTGTACTTCTTTTGCTGTAGAAGGCAGTTGGAAAGAAGTGTTAAAAAGAATCACAATTTCTTGCAATTAATATATTTTCTTAGAGCAGATGGTGAGGAGTGTTACCTAATAGTTCCTCTTGCATGCAAAAGGGTTACTTAGAAACCAGGATCCTTAGGGTACTAAGAAAACTTTCAGACACACTGTAATTAAATTAGCAAAGAATTGCTTTAGTCTTCTATTTTTTGTAGGATGGCAACGAAAACCTTTCCATCAATCAGGCTCAGAGCTGGTTCAGACCCGACCCAGTTCATTGCAGCCCTGCTGACTAATCTAGGAAAGGTTCATGTCTACCCCATGGACACAGAAATGAAAAACAGTTGTGTTAACTCTCTTATCCAGCCACCACAATATATTGCCCCTCAGTTTTTCCATTCCTCTGTCTGTAGAAGACTAACTGACACCTGTAGGTATATGGGGAAATCCCTTAGCTCCAGGAACTAAATCAAAGGCAGAAGGTTTCCTCTGACCTCTATTTCATCTAACCCCTATTAGTTACAGTTTGCAGAGGCTTTTACCCTTCAGTCTTCTCAAGTGATCCCTGCAAGAAGTTGCTTGTGTTGTTATCAGAACATAAAGTCTTCAAATGATTATCTAACCACATGCCCACTGCCTTATGTAGGTGGACGCTTATTGAATTAACAGTGCCAGTTGTTCCTCATCAAGCTGCCTCCTACATCTGGGCATAGCCCTCTAAGAAGGCTGAATTGTTGTAGTTTAATTTGAATTATTTCAGCAGAATTCCACCCTAAACTACTGACCCTAACAAAGTAGATTCTCATTGGCTTACATGTTCAGAGGATATAAACCCAAACCACCAGAGTATAGAAATGCCTCCGAGAAGCACCTGCCATACGCTCCCTTTGTCGTCCTCATCAGACGGCTGTTTCTTGCTGTGAAGTTGCCAAGAGTATTAACACATTTTGTGACTCCAAATCCTAGTATATTTGTTAATTTCTGTTGAAGAAATCATGGCATTAACTGTTCAGATAAATGAATATACATAAAATAGCTGAATCTTCTAGTAGCTCTTTAAAGTCCATTTTAACAGCTAGTCTGCATGCTTCCCTGAACAAGTGGTGAAATCAAGGCTAACTTACTATTTCTCCTTAGGGATCGTCTCCGTACCACTACCAATGTCTTGGGAGACTCCATCGGAGCAGGAATTGTTGAACATTTATCACGGCATGAGCTGAAGAACAGGGATGCTGAAATGGGTAATTCTGTGATAGAGGAGAATGAAATGAAGAAACCATACCAACTGATCTCACAAGAAAATGAGAGTGAGAAACCATTAGATAGTGAAACCAAGATGTAGGGTAAAGAAAGCATGAGACCAACACTACAAGTGGCGAAAACACACACTTTTTCCAGCCATTTATATCTTGAATTCACCAAGTTCACTTATTCCTTGTTTTCTCCCTTTATGCTAGCACTGGAAAGAATTAATGAAAATATATTCCAAATTAGCAGTGATCATGGTATATGTTGGCTTCCCACTTAAAAAAAATTAACAGGCAACAACACTGGTCCTGCTAGACATGTGCTAACTGAGGATAAAAAAAGAGAGATTGTCAATTAAATAAAAACAAAAATCAGTGTATATGTTATTCAGTCCTGTGAACTTTTTTTTTTTTAAATGAACTGGAAAGTAAAAACAGATAACAGAGCTTGAAAATGGTTTTATTTTTTTAAATACCTGTTGCAAAATTCCTAACATCTATAAACACACAATCAATACTTCTAACTTGATAACTGCATCCAGCTATGTAAATTAACAGGATTTTTGCTTTTTTATCTGATTTTTTCCCTAGAGTTATATTGTTGTTCAAATACTAGCAGGACAATAAAAAGAAGGACATTAATTGAAAGGATAAAAAGGGAGAAGATATACAAATAAAGAAAAAAATACCCAAAATCAGCACTTTTATCAGCTGAGTTGAAATACTTCTGAGAAAGTTATTTTAGCTAGACAGTTTTCCGCATTAGCCTCAGCTGATCTTGACAAAAACTTAGCCTAGTCAGCTCCCACTGACTTGCAAACTTTTATGTATGTATGTACGTACCTCCAATCTGGATTTGCCCCCTTAATTTCAACAACCCAGTTGAACAATCTATGTGTGTAAGTGTTTGTAGGAGCAAGGCCCTAGGCTGGGACAGAAAATGTGTCGTCATCTCTGTTTGGAAAAAAACCACAGCATGCTCTGGGTACGCCAATTATCTACTTAATAAGCAATAACAAGAATAGAAGGCAGTGCCAGCCTTCTGCAGAAGGTGCAGAAGGGTGAGATGCTCAGATCCTAAAGGGACTGGATTCTAAATCTGAATCCCTGAGACCAACAGGAGGTTTTCTGATTGGAAACCTCCCAAATGCTTGGTCATCCCACTGATAAGTTATAGAGCTGTTAGCTGGATTTAAGTTTTTCCATCTGGAGAAGAAGGCTCCCTATCTCAATGTGAAATTTCAAAATCCTTGTTTGTTTATCAGTAGCATCTCAAAAAGCAAAAATAACCCTTTAGAAAATAAAACTAATGGGTGCTTTTTTATTTTTTACTAGGAAAAATATATAAATTGCAAAATAGTAAATACAATAGTAAATGTTGAAAATTTAATTAGAAAGGATTTTAAAGCGCAATATTGTAGGTTTCTTTCAGGGAATAGATAAGGAAAGAATGAAAAAAGGGAGACAATGCACTTGTAATCCTGTGGCTTTTTTTGTTCATTTCAAGATTATTCCCTGATGAAGCCCTTTTCTAGAAATATAAATTATGTATTTTTTCCTTTTTGCCTTGTATTATTATAGAGGTTAAACTGGAAAGTTTTATAATGCAGTTACAGTTGGGTGAATGAAAAAATATTAACCGTCAGGCACAATAGTGTTGAGTGATCTTTTTTATTAAAAAGTTCAGTTGTCTTCTTTCTCCCTTCCCCTACCAAAAATTCTGATGATGGAAATGAAGGATTCCCTTGCGGTATCCCAGTTGCTACTCAGAAGACATTCAATATGTTGCTTCTGTCACTAAAAGAACATAAATATGGTGTACAAGTAACTGTAGTGATAATGTCAGCATGCTGGTTGAAGGCAAATACTTTCCCAGGCAAGACTGGTTTTTTTATGACTGAAAACTCCTGCCCATCTTCTCCAGTTGAGTAACCCAGACAATACAAGCAGGAACTCCAGTGAATGAAGTGAGCAGAGTTTAATACAGAGTATTGAGCAGTCAAACCAACAAAGCTCTAAATGAACCTCTGACTGAAAGAAAACAAGTACGGGGTTTTTTTTTTTTTTGCTAAGAGAATGCAAATCTAGGATACAGACAGGCATTTGCTGGTATGTAATTAGAGATATTTTTATATAGATACTGTATTCAGAATGTGTGTATAAACATTAACTGTAGAATTTATGGCATAACAATTTAATTTTTTGTTAAGATTTTGTTTGGAAATACATTGCAAAGACAATGTAAATGGCTGTCTTTCTATGACATCAGCTGAGAAAAATGCATTGTGTCACAAAGAATGTGATCTTCTTTTATACTAACTTTGTTTCTTATGGAAATCAGGTATTATAGAAAGATTCCCTTCCCCATCCCTCCTTGGTTCTGCATTGGTATGCACCCAGAGTGGATTGAGAAACATTACTTTGTAGATGTATTTTCAATAAAAATAGTTTTACATTACTGTTTTTTTGTGATGTAGAATTTCTTTCAAAGGCTCTGTAATAGAAGCTTCACACAAACTCAGAGCTAACAAACTCATAATATAGGATTTCAGGAATTCCAGGCCATTTTATACAGCAGGGCTTTGATATAGCAGGGCTTCCTCACTTCAAACACCTGCTTACAGTTGCATGATCAAAAATAAATAAGTAAAAGGGGGAAGGAGGAACATTAAAAATTAAAAGAACCAATGTTCATCCTACTTAAGTTCATTCAAATTCAAGTATATACATTTGTATTGATATCTGCAAAATACTAAAAAAATAAGTATTTACATTTTCATTGATTCAGCTACTGCAAAGCTGCCAGTTTAGATGTAAAATTAGATGGTCCAAAACCCTCATTGACTGGGGTATTACAGCATGGTAACATTACAGCCATCCTAGGCAATCCACTGTTTTTCTCACAGAAGTGGTTTGTGATGGTATCAGGGTTCATTTGGCAACAACTTCAGCTGGCAGTTATCATCTAATGGAAGTGAATGTCTTGTCAGAAAGACTAGGAAGGTATAAAAGACAGAAGCTGAATCACTTGCATCCAGAAAGTTGTGTTGGTCGGAGCAGATGGAGGCAGCAGGGAGAAGTCCTGCCTTCCCGAACATACACCAACAAACCACTGGACAATGACGTCTATGAATTTGTCTGTGTTTTTTTGAGTGAAAACAACATACAATGCAACCAGTTTTGTAAAAAAAAATTCAGAGAGGACACGGTGTTCTAAAGTGCATGAGCATAACTTTTCCCAATTTTTTTCTAGTTATCTACACATTCATTCACTCAATCTAGGTAAGTATCTCTGTGTTTCTAGAATTACTATCATGATGGGAAGAGCTAAAGAAAGAGGGTTAGTGTATCACTTGGAGATATTACTGGCACAGTGGCCTTGCTTACTCTTCCGTGCCCCCATGCAGAACAAAGATCTCTGGTATTCCATAATTTTTCAGCAGTGTTTTCATTTGGAAATTGGGGTACCAAACAGCCATGCCATTCTCAGGCGAGAATTTATGTCTCTGTAACAGTGTGTGGCCAGTATAAAGCAAAGTGATCATGCATGTGGAAAATCAACTACTGGCACAGGAAAGTAATTCTGTCTTCCTTTTTGAAGGACTGCATTTGTACAAGTGACATTTGTGTTCCAACGCAGGCACAACTGATACGAAATTCAGGGCTTTTTTTTTTTCAACTAACCCTGTAACAAGTGCTTGGTTTAATAAAGTTACAATGGAAATGGTACAGAAGAGTGTATCTTGCTTCTAGTGTGATCAACAGTGTGCTAGTTGTGCTACTTGTGATCAACAGTGTGTGATCAACTTGCTTCTAGTGTGATCAACCATTTCCCAGAACAGGATAAAAAATCTGAGATGAACTGATAGATCGCTCCCTGTCTGGATTTCTGTGTCATTTTTTTAAAGAGATTGGCTTACCCTGGAAGCATGGAGTAAGATGGAGAAAGGCTCCTGGAAGATGGAGAAAGAGTTCTACACCTCCATGCCAAACTGAATACCCAGACCTGCAACATCAGTGAGGTGGCAAGATTCCTTCTGATAACAAAGAGAGCTGTAGTCAGATTATATAATCCTGCATGATGAGCCCTCTCCTTTCCCTTCTTCCCTCACCTGGCTCCTCAGATGTCTCTAAGATACCCAGAAGGATCTAAAATTCCAAAATTTTAGTATAGAAGCACTTCCATCTCTAACCAAAGTTTTTCTTCAACATGCCTCATTACACAACTAGGGCTGCACAAATAATTGATTTTTCACTTCAGTGAGAGAACTGAAAAACTGGGGAGAATAATTCTTCCAGGGCATCATGAACAATTTTTTTATTGCTTAAAAAAAAGAACAGTCTCTTTCAGGTATAATGAAATGCTTCATTCTCCACTTCTTGAAACATCCTATCTCACTTCTGGATCGCTTTTACTCTATTTTAAATTAAAACAAACTCAGCTGTAAAATGAACTGTAACTCACAAATAAAACATTGAACCACTTTGCTAGGAAAATGTCAAAATGAAATATTTCAACTTTTCTATAATATCTCCTCACTTTAAAGCCAATTGTATTTACAGAATTTGGCACAGCTTCACAAGTACTTGCCTCAAAACTGCATTTTTCAGCAGTATATTTTTATATTAATGCTTTTTCTTTGCTCTTTACAACTTCCTTTCTCCAGACATTGCACATTTTTCTGCTTTTCCTGATTGCTTAGATTTTTTCTTCACTGTACTACTGGCTTTTTAAGAGCCTCTTAGAACTCCTGATATTTGATAAAAATGATAAAAAACCAACTACTTCCTGATATTTTTCCAATATTGTTACTATTACTTTTGCTCCTAAACTTGTGTTCATTTCCTGCATCATGTTTTTTTTCAATGCCTCAAACAGTTTACCATTTTCTGCAGTACCATATTCCTCTCTCCATCTATCCCACTTTCTCTCTTGGCTTTACTCTTCATTTTTACAGCTTATCCTCCAAGAACTCCACTGCAGCAGGTCTTCATAAACCCAGATTCAGGTCTCAATAGTATTTTTGGTCTCCTTCATAAACCTAGATGCGACTCAGCCTTTCTGTGTTTTGGTTCCCAACCAATACAATGGGGA